GAATAAATCCAGCTGCTCCTAAGAGCTGGAAAACATCACCAGTTGCTCCACCGGGCTCCTCATCCCATGTCCCTAGCGCTGCTGGGGGCCTCCCCGAGACAGACGTGGGTCGGAGGGGCAGAAGAGAGGCCACCAGACCATTTTCTATGGGAATTTCTAAGGAAAAAATGATAAAAGAATCAGCTTGGACAATTGCTGCCTCATCTCCCGGCTGGAGATTGGGGCATCCCTGCGACGTCGCTGCACAAGCCACCTTCTGCTCTCAACGGTATCAAACCATGTGCTGCTTTCATGCAAAGGAGAAATTAAAATCTAAGCTGGCTTTATTTAGTGAATAAAGCTCCAGGATGGGATTTCTCACCTCCAGGGGTTGTCGGGCAAATAGCATCCTTCCCTCGTGCGCTGGTTTTCCCCTTAGGATACAGAAAAGGGAGATGCTGACATTAGGAGTGACTTGATAAACCAGCCCTCATCCTCTCCAGCTAAAGACAAGGTGGCTGAGCCCGGGGTCTGGCTCTGCTTTACGCAGCAGTTGAGCGGAAAGGAGCAAGAAAAAAAATACTTCGCAAATCTCCCAGCCCTAAATGACCCCGCTAAAGCCAGCCAGCAGCCCGTGGGCACGCCGCAGTCGGCTCCATCCGGGGCAGGGAGAAGTGAAATCCCTGCAGAACTATTTCTGGGCGGAGATGATTCACCCGGCGGCTGCGTTCCCGGGAGCGCATCGGCCACCAAAAAAAAAAAAAAAAAAAAAAAAGGAAAAAAAAAAAGAAAGAAAAAGGGACTCCCTCCAAAAAAAAAGCAAAACCCAACAGAAAAACCAGCCGCGCTTCCTAGAGTTATGCAAAGCCTGAATGGCGAAGCAGAAAATAAACCAGGTATTTCCTCATTGCTAAACAACCTGAATTTGGGATGAGGTTCTAAACGTGCCTGATAAAACCTGGGCTCGCTACGGGAATCATTTCCCAGGGTGGTTTCCTCCCCAAATCTTGATGTTTTCTTCCTCTCCAGCCAGCCTCAGGATCCTTCTGCCTCGAAGGGGCCCAGGGAGGAAAGGTTGAGCCCCGGCAATATTCCCCGCCTTCGTTATCTCGGCACGTCAGCTCTGG